GGCACGATGGTTGGAAACCCTGCAGGAATTTTCGTTCGAAATTCAGTATCGGGAGGGGTCACGTCACGCGAACGCGGACGCACTCTCCAGATTGCTGCAGGGATCCCCTTGCGCTTGCGCTTCGGGTACGAATAGGTGTACGCGGGTTCCGCAACCCCCTCGGCCTGTCGTGTCAGCTGTCGAGGTGCCCGAGGCTCCTGTATGCCCAGGACCGGCTGATGGGGTTTTGAACCTGCCGCGCTCGGTATGGATTCGCGAGCAATTGCTTGATGAGTCGCTGGGGGCCTTGCGGGGTCAGGCTGCGAAGGGGACGGGGAGACCGCTGTCCGGTGGGACGCCGGGAGCCGCTCTCCGGGATGGCTTGCTGATGTGGAGGGAAGGGTTGCACGATCGCTGGCGTCTGGTGGTGCCGTCGTCGTTACGATACGAGTTGGTTCGGACTCTGCACTCCGAGACTTTGTTACATCTCGTGGTGCAGAAAACCTTGTTGACGTTGCAGCGGGACTACTTCTGGCACGGCATGACGACTGATGTCATCGGGCACATTCGGGCGTGTCCCGAATGTGCCCGGCGGAAGCCGCCTAAACACCCATATGTGCCGCCAGTGCAGTCCATACAGGTGTCTCGGATTAATGAGTTGGTGGCATTGGATATTTTGGGGCCCTTCCCGCCATCCGCTAGGGGGAATACATTTTTGCTGGTCGTGGTGGAATATCTTTCCCGCTGGCCGATGGCTTGGCCCTTACCTGACCAGTCGGCGGCGTCTATCATGGACGCGTTCCTATTCGGATATGTAATGGACAAAGGGGCACCGGAAAGGTTGCTCACGGACCAAGGGCGGCATTTTTCTTCTAAATTGTTGGCTGAGGTGTGTGCTGCACTGGGAACCAAGAAGGTTCGGACGTCTCCCTACCACCCGCAAACGGATGGCATGGTGGAACGGCTAAATCGAACCCTTTCGGCCATGCTGTGTCACACGGTTAGTGAAAAACAGGCTGATTGGGATTTGCATATCCCTGGGGTACTCTCCGCATACCGGATGACGCCTCATGCGTCGACGGGGTATTCACCTTTTTTTTTATGTACGGCCGCGAGAATGTGCCGCCGGTGGACGTGCAGCTGGGTACGGGGACGAAGGGTCCTGTTAAGCCTCTCCCCGAGTACATTCACGACGCTGTTCGTCGCGTGGCAGAGGCACGGGAGGGGGCCCGATTGGCTACGGCCTAGACCCAGGCCCGGAATGAACGTTGCGCTCGGCGCTCGGATGGGAAATCCCCCTAGCGAGTGGGGGACATGGCCTGGCTGCACTGCCCGTAGGTGTGGGCGGGGACCTCCCCTAAGTTGTACAAACCATGGCAGGGGCCGGTTAAGCTTATTGAGGTTCCTAACCTGCAGTCCGCACGTGTTCGGTTCAGATCGCGGCGCTGGTACGTCCATACGTCTCGGTTGAAACCCTACGTGGCCCCGCAGATGGATGCGTCATCTCCTAATGTTGCCTTGCCGGTGTCTGTTGCATCCGACGCGCCTCTTACTTTGCCTGTTCAACCTGCAAGCGTGCCTGTCGTGCCTTCTACAGACAAACCGGCCGTGACGCAGGCGGATGCAGCCAATCCTGCTCCGGGTGGGCCTACCACGGCGACGGGGACACTTGACCCCGCTGCCCCTCCAACCCCACCACGGACGCGATTGCGAGAGACCCTGGCGACGGGTCTCTCTGGGGAACGGGACTTTGGTGTTGACGGGCCTCCAACAGCGGCGGGCGGTTCCGATCCCGCCGCTCTTAAAACCCTGTCGCGGTCATGGTCTGTGGGGGGGCCGCCTCCCGTTCGGGACGGGCCGGCGACCCGCACGCGTTCCAAGTCCCTTTCCTTTCGTTAATTGTTGTTCTTGTTGTTGTTGTTTCGTTAATTGTTGTTCTTGTTGTTGTTGTGTTGTTATAATCTCCGTTGTCTGGTGATGCCGGATGGTTGTAATTTGCTCGCATTATTTTGTTCTGTTGCAGCCGGGGACGGCTGGTTTTTTCATCGGGGGGGGGGGTCATGTAATGCGAGCAAGGAATGAGGGGGCGGAGTCTGGGTCACGTGAGGAGAAGGAGGAGTCAGGGTCACGTGAGAGAGAGGATTTAGGGGGAGAACCGGAAGGGATCTGGGAGTTGAGAAGGAGTGGAAACAGGAGGAGGCCACGCTGGGCAGTGGCGAGAGGGTGGCGTGATTGCCACGTGGTGGAAGGCCACGGCACCGTCGGCCAGCGGTGTACATGGGGCACAGCAGAGCTAGTGGAGTGTGGGAAGCTAGCCGGGCGTGAAGAGCTAGCAGAGTGTGCGGGGCACACAGAGCAGCAGTGTGGCTGCAGAGCGGAGCAGCAGTGTTGCTGCAGACGGAGCAGCGGTGTAGCTGCGGAGCGGAGCAGCGGTGTGGCTGCAGGGTGCACGGTGGAGGAGGTGCTGGTCTGAGCAAGGACGCCGTAGGGGCGAGAGAGAGACAAGAACCCGAATAAAGGACAATGGAGATCTACACTGTTTGAAGAGTCCCTTATTACAATAGGATGCAAAGCCTATGAACCGTCGCACGTCGCCTACGGAAGTGGGCAGTCAGCCACTCACGGACACATGAAGTCTTGTGAGGGTCAGTGGAGACACCACTAGAGCTGACAATGTGTCCGAGGTAACGAACGGAATGCTGCAACAAATGACACTTTTTTGGTTTAAATTTGAGATCGGCAGACCGCATTCTTTGAAAAACATCCTCCAGCCGTTGAAGGTGTTCTTCGAAAGTGCAACTGAAAACAATAATGTCGTCCAAATATATGAGACAAGTCTCCCACTGTAGTCCTGCCAGTACCAACTCCATCAGGTGCTGGAACGTCGCAGGCACGGCATTCAAGCCCATGGGAAGGCGGTTAAATTCAAACAAACCTTGCGGCGTGCGAAACGACGTTTTTGGCTTCGACGCATCATCGAGGGGAAGTTGCCAAAAACCTGACGAGAGGATCAGGGTAGAGAAAAAATTAGCCCCCGACAAGGTGTCTAACGAATCGTCCATCCGTGGCAGGGGGTACGCATCCGCCACGGATATTTTATTTAGCCGGCGAAAATCAGCACAGAACCTCAATTTGCCAGTCCTTCTTTTTAACCAACACCACCGGTGCGCCCCAAGGACTGTTGGATGGCGAAATGATGTCGGCCGCCAACATGTCGTCAACCGCGCCACGCACGTGCTCCCTTTCAGCAGGACTCATGCGGTGTGGGTTCATACATATCGGTCCTGCCGCACCGGTGTCAATATGGTGTGACAAGAGCGAGGTACGACCCAAATCAAAGTAATCTTTGCTGAAGACGTCAGCGTATTTCGACAGTAGTGAACGCAATGCTTTTCGCTGCGTGGAGGACAAAGACGAATTCTCATGGCACAATTCGGCGATCCATCGATCGTCCGAATTAGTGGCCCGAGACACGCCAGCAGCCTGTACCCTCGGCCGGTCCCCATCAAGGCTAGTGAAGTCGGTAGTGGCATGGGCCAATACTGCACCCGCCGGAATGACTACTTGTTCCGGGCCCCCATTCAACACTTGCAAGAACGGGGCTTGTCCAGCCCGAACGATTGTTTGAGCCGCGACAAGAAAGAAAGCCTTAGCCAAGGAGTTTGACGGGGATAGCAACACACCCGCCTCCCTGTCAGCGACCTCCACCCGCTTTCGATAACGCAATGGGATGAGCATCTGTGTACCAGGGGGGATCTCCACAGTGACATCAGCAAGTGCGTGAACGGCGTGTCCCGGAGGTGGGCGGCCCCACAAGGATGGCAGGAAAGACATCCTACAGCCCCCTGCCATTTCTAAACAGCCCTGATCGACAAGGATTTTAACAGGCATCCGACGAAGAAAATCGGTGCCCAACAGACAGGGAACTGCCAACGATCGGGAGATAAGAACCGATCCCGACGCGGCAACATTTCCTATGGCAATGTGGACATGTACCCGTCCTATGATACCCATGCCACCCCATTAGCGGGAATGCATGCGTCGATAGCCAGCTTGACCCGCGACGCAGGGATGGATAACAGGTGAAAAATTACGCCCGAAATTATGGTTGCCGACGCACCGGTGTCCACCAAAATACGCACGTCTACCCCTTGAATGGTGCCCGGCACCGTAGAAGACCCCGACGCTGCCGCAACCACCCTCCGAGCTAATTTCTTCCACTGAGTAATAGTGTGCGGTACCGAATCAGCATGCCGACAATTAACATCCGATAAACCTACGGGGGTGCGAGCGGATGCATGAGGTGTTGGGACCTGCCGGGTACTCGATGCATGCTGACTTGCCCGAGAAAGATGGCGATCCGCGTCCGGTAGAGAAGATGGAGGAAGGGCCGACGGAAGCTGCGGAGGTCGGAACCGGCGCCGACAATCACGGGCGAATTGGCCCAGTCGGCCACACTTGAAGCATGTGGCGGCCGCCCAATGGTCGGCCGCCTTTGCCCCCGCTCGCGACCATCCGGCCCTGTCGTGCCGCGTGTCCTGCCGGCGTTGCGGGGTCCAGCGAGGAGCAGCAGCCACCAAGTCATCGTCGCTGGACTCGTCTGGAACATGCACGACACGACGCGGGGCCCATGCCAGCGGTTCACCATCCTTTTTGGGGCCGTTGTGTAAAACAAGCGCCTGCAGGGGCGCGCGCGTGCACGCCACCGCGTTCGTTCTTTGTGGTGGTGTACGTGGGCGTGTGGGAGATAACCCCGGGCGGTGGGGAGCCAGCGAATTAGCGATGTCCCTTCAGAGAGGGCGCTGGCGTTGGGGGGGAATCACCCGATCTGCGGGGGCCCGGCAAGAGGCGGCCGACGAGGAGGAGGAGGGGGGAGTGGAGGGGGTGGACGTCAGCGCGGGTGTTCGTGCACACACATGGCAAAGATCCCCCGTTTAGTCTTAACAGACTGTTGGGGCAAGTGCTGTTAGCGAGTAGCACCTGGGTCGACTGAGCCTCAATTGAGTACCCGGTGTAATGTGTAAAATTTAACCACGAGGGAGACAAAGGCGGCCGGGCGTGGTCTTCATAGATGCTCGCTATAACAGCACTTGCCCCAAAAGTGTGTAAAGCTATACGGGGGATGTTTGTCTTTGATCAATTTTGAGTACATCATCTGCGAGTATATTTTCGGCATTGTGATACTACGATGGTACACGGCGCGTGTTTGCTATGGGATCGAACAGGAGGGGTCGCTCACGCACTTGCGCCTCCTGCTCGCTCGCGGCTTTAACGTCTCGCTGCCGACACGCTCCCTCGCTGCCCAGAACCTAGCGTTTGTGTACCACCCTGCCGCCTGTAATAACACCTGCGGGATGAGATAGTGCTGAATGTTGCTGGCCCGCTGCTCCACGTGTTAAGGGTCAGGGTGCCTGCGCCGTCAACTCCCGCCGCTTGCCGGGCCCGCACCGTGCGCCGCTTGCCGGGCCTGGGAGTGGAGGCTGCGGCGCTCATGGTACAAGTTAGCGGTGGTGGTGGTGCTGAGTTTGTTAAAGAAACGCCGGTCTGTCTGTCGGTCCCCTCGCCTGAATCTGCCAGTCAAACCACGGCACCTGCACCGTCTGTTCCGTGAAATTCCTGCCAGCAGCGAGCCTCCGGACACCTCAAGTGGCTTCGAAGTGCACCTAGCCTGGCACAAGCGCCGTGGTTGGGCGGCGGTAGTTGGTGGTGATAGTTGTGGCCGTGCAGTTAGCTTAGTTATGGTGGTGGTTAGTGGTGGTATGAGTGTGCTAATCCGTAACGCGCAGGCCCTGGTGCCCGTGTCCCGCTCGCGTTTGCGGCGCGACGCGGAGCTGCTGCTGCGCGTGCTGCTTGTGACTGGCCGCTCGGCGCCTCCTCCACCTCCTCCTCCTCCTCGTCGCCTCCTCCTCTCCGCACTCTGCGTCTCCTCGCCTCGCATCCGCAACCTCAACCTCCACTACCGCGGGGAAGACCGCGCCACTGATGTGCTGGCGTTCCCCTACGCGCAGGTGCCGCGCCGGGGAATCGTTCGTTCATGTTTGGTATTCTCGCCACATTGCCCGGGGTGGCGTCACGTGTTGTGTACAATCAGGGTGTGATGTAATTCATTCATTCAAAACCCGCGTCTTGACGTTAACTTAACACTGGCTGAAAGAACGTCGCTCTCATTGGCCGTCAAAAGTGATTGCTGCTCAAATGAGTAAAGCTCATCTTCAGTAGACTCTCGATTATCCGCGTGCTGTTTCTCCGATTTGCGGATTAACCGCGCATCTGAGATTTTGACATGAATTCATAACTCATGGATTTTCCCTTAAGCCCAAATTAATAATAAAGTTATACATTGCTATTCTTGGAAATGTTTATTACAAGTCACGTGCTTAAACGAAACAAATATGAGCTCCGGTTAATACAAAATCCACGTGATCGCCTCCAGGAAAGTAGTTGCAGATCTTTACATCAGTAGGTGGAGTCTGATGTTGATTGGCGTGGCTCTGCGATCCACTTAGTGGGTGGACTCTTCTGCGGGGAAGCAGGAAAGTGTTATCACTGAGCACGCACATTGATCAGTCGATCGTTCGTTTTTGCACAGAGATCCGCAAAAAATTTATATTTTTGAATTATCCGTGGCCGTCTTCCCTGTCAGCGCGGATTATCGAGAGTCTACTGTATTTAACAGTCCTTCAGTGGCAGCCGTGGAATTACACGTTCACGTGGCAGGGGCGAGTCTGTAGCACAGCTGGCAGTTGACTCACCGCAAAAAGTGGAACTTATTTTTTATGACCCTCAACCCCCAGAGGACTGATGGGCTGTCAACTTTGCAAACCATTCGGGTATGCCCGTAGGTCGTGGCTCCAGGGGTGCTGCTGGAAGCCGAGGACGGCACGGGCGACTCTCTGGGGGACGTGAACCTGGGGGATGTGTACCTGGGGGTGAGCTACATCCAGCAGAGCCTGCGTGCAGGAGAACGTTTTCATGACGCGCTCACGGTGAGCGAGGCTCCGGCCAGGCAGATTCCCCAAGCACGCCGAGCACCAGCCATGCGTGCTCACCACGTGGGCTCACGACAAGGACTCACCACACACACTCACCATGACTCACGACGTGCACTCACAACCAGGACTCACAACGCGTGCTCACCACGAAGACTACCGTTAAGATTCTGAGTTAGCTGTGGGTTAGTACGTTAAAGCCAATATTCAGCTATGGCTTCCGCCAACCAACAGAGCCAATCATATCAAGTACTGTAAGTACTTGAAGTGGTAGATGTATCCCTGAAAAGTGCCGTGTTAAGCAAAAAACGCATTAAGAAAAAAAATTCCGATAAATAAAGTAACGATAAAGTTTTGCAAAATACAATACGATGTACAACGCACACCACGTATTTTCCCAGAGTTTCCTGCCAAGTTTTTGCAGTAAGGGGCAATGTTGCTGTTGTGTAATTCCAAATTTGGTAATTTGCAGTTAATTTCTCAGCATTTGGATGTTTAGCCAATACCAATAGAATGTTTGTCTTTTTAGCTATGGGGAAAAAATGGAAAATTCATGCATAACAGGGGCAGAACATACAAACTCCACACAGAAGGCGCCAGAGTCGAAAGTCAAATCCAGACGCTTCTTGCTTTGAGGCGCGAGCGTCACCACTGGTGGAGGGGTAGCGCGTTCGTCACTTGTTGCAGAGTTTGTTGTTGAAGGATGGCGGTCACCCTGGTTAATACTGCAGTGTGGATTAACAAAAAAAACACCATGCACCGACCGTCTCCTGCACAGTGGAAGTCAAAGATCCCGTGATGTCATTCTAAAAACGCAGGTCATTGTCTGCCGGTGTCATCCAAAATTTGGCAAATAAGAAATATTGCGTTACAAATTTCTCAAAGAAGATTAAAGAAAGCCACGTCACCCCCATACTGTGAACACTTAGCAGGACGCTCCTGAAAGAGTTTGAGACTCAGTGAAGCTTTCCTGGCTTAACAAGCATTACACTAATATGTAGTAATCGTTAACTATTTGCGCTTGTAACGATGATTAGTATGTGTCGTGTTCCCTCGCAGGTGACTTTATTACATGGCATGTGCCATTTACTGGGCTACACCCATGATACCATGGCCGATTGGAAGCAGGTGAGGTACTGTGCATGTACATGAGACCAGGCTGGTGCTGCGTGTGCTCGCTGAGAGAACGTTAGTGGACGCTCTGTGCTACGTTGCCACTCAAGATCAAGATGGCATAATAGCCAGAGTCACCAATGCCTCCAACACTCTCTAGCCTCCACCAGATCCCTCAGGTGAGGTCTGCTCTGACAGTATCTCACCATCTAGCCGTAGACTCAAAGAGACCCACATTCTCACATTGACCCACACAGCTGGCCTGACAGTCTCCCACCAACTGCTCTGCCTGTCTCGGCAATTGGCACTCCCCCATCCTGCGTTATCGTAACTACAACACTCACCTGCCATGTTCTCTTCCCGAATTGTGCAATTCTTCTCCTGGCTTCCTAGCATCTGGCTCAGTCACCTGGGATCCAATGCATGACAACTTCTTTCCTAGCTACCAAGGGTCCAGCTCTCTGATCCCTACCATAATGCAGATAGCCTTCCTGCCTCAAATACACTCAACCTTACCTTCTGTTCCAAAGTGGTTTTATAGCTAGCGCTTGCTACTCGTGGTGGACTCATGCCCATTGGCAGGCTAGGCCCCCGAGTCACCTTGTGCCCCTACACTGCTACTGGGGGTGCCCTTTCACTTGTTTGAGATCACATGCACAACCCTCTGAAATGCCCCGGAGTAAAGTGAGGTTGCTACATCAATAACACATCGTGATCAGTAATCGTTTTATTCACAGTAAGTGGCTTTTCGGTGATCTTGGAAAACGTGAAAGATGTCGATTCAGTCTCCTGGAATGGCAGTTGGGTGTGCACCACAGTTATTTGATCGGCAGGTCAGGTGCGGTGGGGTTATGTGTAGTTACTCGCAGAGCTGTCCCTCGGGTACGGCGAATCGGGACGATCGCCCCATGCGCCGCACTTTGGGGGGACACCCGCTTCGATGTCACGCTGTCAGATATAATACCTCCCGTTTAGTTTTAAGGCATCCGCTGGCCCAACACAGTAGGGTTTGCCCCGGGTCCCGTATCTCCCTATAGACGGCCCTGGTTACCTCCTATCTCTTCCAAAACGCCAGAACGTCCCAGAAGAACAGAGAAATACCCTCCAAATCGGTCTCTCGTGGAGGCCCTGCCGCCAGCAGTGACTGTGAGCAAGCAATTCTGTATCCGTCCTATCAACCATGGGCGGCAGGACTCGGGCACCTCGTGGAGATTGCATGTGTCCTTGTTTTGCATGGTTTTCCTCCGGGTCCTCTGCTTTCCTACCATATCTACAAAAAAAAGCACAATTTAATCGGTATTTGCTAAAAAAAATCCAATGCTGAAAATGTTCCTGAAAATTATTGAATTGGAATTATATGTTGCAACATGACTCCCTACAGTGGAAACTCAGCAGGACCCCCTGAAAAAGTATTGAGATGAGCTGTGTAATAATAAAGCGGCAAATGTTGGCCATTGTGCTTGCAGATGTACGAGAAGGAGAGCGAGGTGCTGTTGGAATACGGCCGCATCACGGGCGTCACGCTCGCGCCTCTCACAGCTGGGACGTTCTGACTCCCACCGTCGAAACCTGCTCGAGCTGCGGGTGGCACAATATTGTACAGAGATGCCTCAAGAACCTTACCACGCTCTGCTATGTCAGCCTCACCACCTCTCCACGCTCTACCATGCCAGCCTCCGGACAATGACTTTGGCAACTACCTCGTTACCCTGGAAGCCCCTCTCGAACTTTTGGGATGGTGACGTGGCTCAGAGTTAGCAAGTTTGCCGCTTATTACAGAGGCTCGTAGTTACAATCCGGCAGGCCATCATTAATACTGCGGTGTGTGTATGAACCGTAAAATACCACTCCTCATCTGCTTCAGAGTGGACGGAAAAGATACCCTGTCGTAATTTGAGACGGGGAGGCCATTGTGTGCTGGCGTTTTGGTCCAAATTCGAAAAAATAACATACACACAGCAGCAACATCGCTCCCTACTATGAAGTGACCGCAGACTGAAACAGAGCAGCGCCTTCCTTTGTGATAGCCTTGCGCTGTAACAATGACAGCATGAATACCAAATTGATGGTATGAATTTTTTTTAAATCAATTGCTGAGGACTAGCACAAATATTTATAATGGCAAGTGGCCAGCAACAAGCAGCACTATTGAAGGTCTAACAATTTGCATTCACGTTTGGAAGTCAATTGTAAATACTGAATACATTATGGACGATGCTGAACACATAAAACAAAGTAATCATGATTGTTCTGGGTTATGTTTTATTATTTTGTGTCGAACTCGATCCAAATCCATTGGAGGAGAGGGTCCTAGTGTATAAACATCTGGCAGTTCACCAGGAAACCTGATTCTGCTGATGTCAAAACTGGTATAAAACCGGTCCAGAGTTTATAATTTGCACTCCTGTAGTTTTTTGTAATTGTTGTTTTACTTGTTTACCTGCCCCTACTGGACCTCTGTGAAAAGAGCGTCATAGCTCATTGGATTCGTCCTGCGGAATCAATACAGATTATGATTCGTCCTTGTGTTGAACAAATGCTGCTGAAATAATGCACTCCCTGAAGGAGGCTGTGCCGCTGATGGGATGCGTCAAAATGCGTTTATTTTGTATGGAGGGAAGGATGTGTGTGGAGGCAGTGAGCTGTCTGCAGTTATTTTGTAATTGTCTACAACAACGCCAATGTATGTTTCAATGTTGCATTCCTTGGTATTTAGGAGCGTATCACAAACGCCTCCTGCTGCTAATCATCATCAGCCATGATTGATCCACTGCTGGATGAAGGCCTCCCCAAGTCGCCACCCAGGTGTTGACATGGGTGTGCGCCATGGTGGCGAGATGTGAACTCCCTCGCCTGCTGTGTAGGAGGTCGTTGGTTCAATCCCGACCCTGACGCGCCAGCTGTATATATTTGGAGTTTGCATGCCTCTCTCCCCGTGGTCGTGTGGATTTTTCGGTCCTCCGGTTTTCCCCTCCACATTTAGAATCAACATTCGTTTTCGTATTTGGCTACTATACATTTCCAAATGATCGGCCACTTCATTCAACTATCATTTTGGCCAGGTCACTTCTGAATAAGAGCAGCGCAGTGGGCCTTAAAAATCGTCCAAAATAGCGTGACGTCTTTATGGACAGCCCCTTTGTTTAATTTGCTTATATTTTTCAGTGCTGTTTACAATTCCTATACGTCGCACTCCTATTGTGTTTTTGTATTGTCTGTTGTTCTAACGTTCTGACCTGCCCCCATACTGGACACCTGTTACGAAAAAAAGAGCTTTAGAGCTCATCGGATTCCTCCTGCGGTCTCAATACAAATTCCGATTCTTTACGTCTCAGTCGTTCGCGGCAAGCGGGTAAATGACCGCGGACCCTCAGGGGACTCTTCCGCGGTCAAACGAATCGCTGGAGTCGATTCACCGCCGCCCCCCCCCCCACCTCCCGTGCGTGGAGCAGCGGCCAACAGCGAACAACGCGGATCGAAGTCGCCGTGTAACGGAGAGACGGCGCCGCACGTGTTGGACTGAGCAAGAGTGTGTGGTGGGGGGAGAGAAGCAGAAAGGTGACCTGCAGTGTAAGTGCACGAGGTGAGTGAGCGAGTGTAGTGGATGGGGTGAGCCAGTGTGCGTGGGTGGGTGAGTGGTTGGGTGAGCCATTGTGTGGGTGAGTAGCTGGGTGAGCCAGTGTGTGGGTGAGTGGCTGGGTGAGCCAGTGTGTGGGTGAGTGGTAGGGTGAGCCAGTGTGTGGGTGAGTGGTAGGGTGAGCCAGTGTGTGGGTGAGTGGTAGGGTGAGCCAATGTGTGTGTGGGTGAGTGGTAGGGTGAGCCAGTGTGTGGGTGAGTGGTAGGGTGAGCCAGTGTGTGGGTGAGTGGTAGGGTGAGCCAGTGTGTGGGTGAGTGGTAGGGTGAGCCAGTGTGTGGGTGAGTGGTAGGGTGAGCCAGTGTGTGGGTGAGTGGTAGGGTGAGCCAGTGTGTGGGTGAGTGGTAGGGTGAGCCAATGTGTGTGTGGGTGAGTGGTAGGGTGAGCCAGTGTGTGGGTGAGTGGTAGGGTGAGCCAGTGTGTGGGTGAGTGGTAGGGTGAGCCAGTGTGTGGGTGAGTGGTAGGGTGAGCCAGTGTGTGGGTGAGTGGTAGGGTGAGCCAGTGTGTGGGTGAGTGGTAGGGTGAGCCATTGTGTGGGTGAGTGGCTGGGTGAGCCAGTGTGTGGGTGAGTGGCTGGGTGAGCCAGTGTGTGGGTGAGTGGTAGGGTGAGCCAATGTGTGGGTGAGTGGTAGGGTGAGCCAATGTGTGTGTGGGTGAGTGGTAGGGTGAGCCAGTGTGTGGGTGAGTGGTAGGGTGAGCCAGTGTGTGGGTGAGTGGTAGGGTGAGCCAATGTGTGTGTGGGTGAGTGGTAGGGTGAGCCAGTGTGTGTGGGTGAGTGGTAGGGTGAGCCAGTGTGTGGGTGAGTGGTAGGGTGAGCCAGTGTGTGGGTGAGTGGTTGGGTGAGCCAGTGTGTGGGTGAGTGGTAGGGTGAGCCAGTGTGTGGGTGAGTGGTAGGGTGAGCCAGTGTGTGGGTGAGTGGTAGGGTGAGCCAGTGTGTGGGTGAGTGGTAGGGTGAGCCAGTGTGTGTGGGTGAGTGGTTGGTTGAGCCAGTGTGTGGGTGAGTGGTTTGGTGAGCCAGTATGTGGGTGAGTGGTAGGGTGAGGCAGTGTGTGGGTGAGTGGTAGGGTGAGGCAGTGTGTGGGTGAGTGGTATGGTGAGCCAGTGTGTGGGTGAGTGGTAGGGTGAGCCAATGTGTGGGTGAGTGGTTTGGTGAGCCAGTGGGTGGGTCGGTGAGTGGGTGTGGTGTTGTGACCTTCAGTGTGGTGCTTGAATAATTTGGTGAGTGAGCCGAGGCTGCGGTGGCCGGCCATGCGGGATACACGACCCAGCCACAGCATGCTGCCTAAGCAGCTTCCGTTTGACCGGATCTAGGGGGGCTAAACGGGCTAGAGAAGAGATGGAGTGATGTGGTACAGGAGGATATGGAGCTGAGTGGACTTGTCGATGACTGGTACCAGCGGTGTCAAGATCGGCCTTTGGAGGTGGAGGCTCGTGAAGGACGCTGCTACTGGGCAAGTTGGAGGCAGTCGCCCTCCAACAACAACGGAGGGCGGAGGAGCGACGCTCACAACAACGAGCGGAGCGCGTGGCAGCTAAAAAGCAGAAAGTTGGCACAGTAGGGGGCACGGGTGGTGCATCTGCCATTCATCAGTCAATCAACCCATGGCACCTGGCTCTGTTTCGTGACCTCCTTCCTCAAAGTGCACCTAGCTTGGCACAAGCGCCGTTGTGGCGTTCACCGAGTGTGTTGTGACCTGCAGTGGTGAGTGGGAGAAGTGCGCGGGAGAGTGTGTTGTGGACTTGCGAGTCCGTCTGGTGAACGCGAGTCCTCCAACCTCTTTGGCCACACTAAATCAGGGCAGTCGACCGAAACGTTGGCGGCTAGGCGAAACGTCGTATGCTAGTATTTTATTATTGTATCTTTATACGTGACTTTACCGAAAGAACCAAAGAGTAATTCCTGCAGTCACGAAAGCTCCAAATTAAGATCGCTATTTTGATGTTTACATCCGAGAGAATCGATTCCAAAATCGCGCAACCACCGATTCGGAGACTCGGGAGAATCGATACGCGGAAACGCGAGAAGGTCAAGAATCGCCGGTGTGAATGGACGCGGACCCTGAGCGTGAGACTCAAGAGTGAGAGACTCAGGGATGTTGTGAGTGGGATGTTGTGAGTGAGATGTGAGTGAGATGCGAGTGGGATGTTTAGTTCAGGGTTTGGTTCTCGAACGCGTTGGTGAGATGAGCCGAGCACGAGTCCATGCCACCAATTCGCCTCCTCTCGCCGTTTTGCCTTTCAGAGAATGTGCGATGGAGCAATCCCTGGCACTCGCATCAGGTTTGGTGAACACCTCGCAGTATTTACACATTTGAGTTGATCGTTGTGTTTATTTTTACTGTTATCCCATTTTACCCAGGAAAGCCTCTCAGTCAGTGTTTTTCATGAGGGTCCTGCCAGGTTTTCGCGGTAGTAGGTGATGTTGCTGCTGCTGTGTAATCTTAATTAAGTAATTTGCAGCGTAATTTATTCAGCATTGGGATTTCTTTTGCCAGTACCAGTTAGTCTTTGTTTTGCTTTTGGAGGACACCCATGCAGAACAGGGGTAAAACATACAGACTCTAATTAGGTAGCAACCCTAATTGAAATATAAGTTCAAATGCCAGACTCAAGAACATCCTATGTGGGCAGAACAATGGCGTGTGACCTGTATTTGCAATTAACAGCTAGCGAAATTATTATCACTGCGTTGTTTGCCCAGGAATAAAGCCTGACTGAATCTCAAGAATCGTTTTAGGAGGGTCCTGCCAAGTGCTGCTGCTGTGTAATCCCGATTGAGTAATTTGCAGTGCAATTTTAAGTATTGGGTTATTTGGTTAATTATAGTTACATAGTGTGGTTTTTTTTGCTATGGTAGGGAACCAGAGAATCCGGAGGAAACCCACTCAGAACAGGGGGGAGAACATACATATTCCACGCATACAGGCTCCCAAGTCGGGAATCGAACCCAGGGACTTCTTCCTGCAATGCGTGACGCGCCACCCAGAGCCGTCGCTAGGGTACAGTGAATCAGGGTGACTTCCCCGGGCCCCGCGCTTTGGGGGCCCCCGCGCTTTGACGTCACACTGCGAGATGTAATACTTCCCGTTTAGTTTGAAGGCATCCGGGGGGCCCACACAGTGGGGTTTGCCACGGGCCCCGCACCCCACACCCCCCTATAGACGGCCCTGGTTACCTCCCATCTCTTCCAAAATGCCTAAACGGCCCGGAAAAGCAGAGCAATACCCTCCAGAGCGGTCTCTCATGGAGTCCCTGGCGCCAGCAGTGACCATTAGCAAGCCGTTCCGTATCCGATCTATCAATGTGGGCGGCAGGGCGGCGGCGGTGGCGGAGTAGTAATGCTTGTGCCTCACAGCAAAAAGGTTTGAGTCCTGACTCGGGCACCTCGTGGAGATTGCATGTGTCCTTGTGTTGCATAGCTTTTCTCCGGGTCCGCCACTTTCCTCCCATATCTACTACCCTGCCACCCTTTGCGTTCCTCCTACCCCTTCCCGTCAGAGCATGCCACTCGGTGAGCCACATGTGTAGAAGCATCAGAATCATGTGACCCGATATTCATTCAGAGGGAATGAGAACCCTGGCGGTGATGCGGCTCAAGTGGCCCGCTTGTTGCAGGGAAGAAGTTCATGGATCTAACCCAGCAGACCGCCCAGACTATCACTGCGGTGTGTGTGTGGTGTTAACCGTAAACTACTACGCACTGTTAACCGTAAACTACTACGCGCTGTCTCCTTCTCAGTGAACGTTGCCATTCAAATCAAGTAAGGCCATCGTGTGCCAGCGTCATGGTCAAAACTTGCCAAATTTGCTAATTCCTGTTCGTGGGATGTTGATTAACTGTGAATAACCCAAATAATAATAGATATCCATTGTAATTTATATGACAACATTAAACCCCCCTCTGGGCTTCGCATTTGATCGGCTCACAGTGAAGTTATCACATTTATCTCTATTTTTAAGACCGAAACAGGAGGATTTATCCACAATTCTGGCTATCATCTGATGAGCATTGTTGTAATTACCGGCGAAACGTCATACTCGAATTGTAAATATTGTAGGTTTAATCTCTCCAACACACCAGTGTGCTGAACTAATAACTACTAGGCATGTTTTGTTTACGTGCCAAATTTTACTAATTGGCTGTCGGGTGGTGGCGGGTTTAATGACTCATTTATATTCACGCGATCTAACTGAAAAAAAAACCTCTTGGATAACACACGGTAGTAATCATCGCTTCCTTCTGTGAAACTACTACATACGTCGTGAAACGGAGCGCCTTTTGTTGTGATAGCCTCGTGCTCTAGGAATGGCGCCAGCCGTCGACTGTAGTAGGTTGTCAGAACCATGATTGTTGACGGTGATGAGTGGTCTTCACTTGCAGGCACGGAGCGGGAAGCGCGTGGGGCGGACTCATGTTTACCCGGAGCAGTGAGCGTCAAGCAGGAGTGCGAAGAGACGCCGAGCATTGGGACGTGGATGGGGAAAGGTGAGGAGGCGGGTGAGTCATGGCATTGTGGTGACAAAGGCATGGAAGTGGGCTCGCTCATTGTGGGGAGCGGTGGCGCAGTGGTAAGCGCTGCGTTCTGAACCTAACGACCCAAATTTGATTCCCCCTCACGGTCACCAACACCAGTGACGACTATCTGAACCAGTCCTGGGCCTCCCATAGGTTGACTCAGCCACAAATGAGTACCTGGTACGATGAGTAAACATCACCACTGGGGAGACAAAGGCGGCTGGGCATGGTGCTGACCACAAACCGCCTCGTGTACTATGCCGGCCTTCATGGGTGCTCGAAAACAGCACTTGCCAAAAAAGTCTGCTTAGGCTATATGGGGGATCTTTGTCTTTGGAGCCAGTTGAGCCTATCATAGGTCGATTCAGCCTTAAATTAGTATCTGGTTTGGTGTGGTGTGTACACATCCACATTTGGGGGACAAAGGCCTCAATAGGGGTGCCGCGGTGGCGAGATGTTAACTATCTACAGGTCATGAGTTTGATCTGACCATGACGTCTGTATATTTGAAAATTGCATGTTCTCCCCGTGGTTGCATATTTAGAAACATGCGTTTTAGGGTAGGTAGTTGGCTGCTATATATTTTCATTTAATGATAAGCCACTTCCTTGAGCTATCATTTGTGGCCAGGTCGCTTCTGAACAAGAGCTATATAACTGAGTGGGTTTTACCTGGTAAAATAAAACCTAGTTTTAATAGTTTAGGTGCTCTTTCACAGCACTTTCCCTAATGGTCTGTTGAAGGCTATACGGTGGATCTTTGTCTTTGTGGTGTCAGGTAAGGCAGGGGACCTCTAGAACATCCTTGTGTTTTGTGTGAAGCCTTGAATTTTTCATTTTTAGTTGCAGAATATATGGTGTCTATATCAGAAAAAAGTTGGTTCTTACATTCAAATTAATGATGAATAATATCGAGTCATGTTTGATCTAGAGTCGCGTTTGACACACAGTTGAGAATTTAAGATGCGATTGACAGATAGCCAAATAGGCGAATAGCAAATTCATGAATAACGAGGGAATACAAATTTTAGCACGGTTGGCTACGTATAGTGCGAAAGAAGTTCAACATATAATGCCAGTAACATTGTGTGTTTTTGTTTCAGTTATGGGAGTAAACCGGAGGTCCCGGAGGAAACCCATGCAGAACAGGGGGAGGACTTACAGACTTCTCACAGAACGGCGCCCAAGTCGGGAATCGAACTCGGGGGATTCTTGCTGTGAGACACAACAAGCGTTGCCCCACCACCCTGCCGCTCCATGTGTTGGTGAGTTTCAAGTCAAGACACGCGATTTGATGCACAGTAATTCCTCGTTTAATGCAGTAATAGATGTGTTCCATGAAAAGTGCCGCGTTAAGCGAAAACAGTTTCCCCATAAAAAATGTGACGATAAAGTTTGACAAGATATGATGTACTACACGCATGCGGTGAGATGGTGCGAAAAATACTGGGGTATACTCTTTGGGTCTTTCGGTAAAGTCACATAGATAGAAAAATAAATAAAAATCACGACGTTTCGATCGCAACACGAGCAATCGTCTTCAGGTGAAAAAATACAGCAGGCGGACTGCTGAGGCAGGAAGAAATATATATAACTGGGGTATGTCGATGCGTTAATGTATAATTTCACATACTGTATCACGGTACCGCTCAGCCGCACTGCTCAAGAAAGTTCATCGTAAACCGCTCAGAAACCGCGGAATAACAGCGCGCGTTGTGCATTATAACAGGTCGCCTTCCGCTTTATAACGGGGTGCGCGTTCCACGTTATAACTGGCGCGTTCCACGTTATGACTGGGAATCTTCCACGTTCTAATGGAGTGCGTGTTCCGCGTTTTAATGGTGCGTGTTCTGCGTTGTGTGAAAAGTGTTCCCTGATGGAAGAACCGCGTTATAGCGACAATGCATTGTGTAAACCCCGTGCGCTAAGAGAGGACTTGGCGTAATCGCGTGAGCACTCCAGCTCTCTCCGTGTCTCTCAGGGACGCTTTCCTAGGTAACGAGCATCAATCACAATAAAGAATATTAACGAGATATGCACAGCATCGGCTAAATCCAGCTCCGCAAGCAAATTTGATTTGTAACTTTGAACATGACCCGTGTATCAATAGTTACATTTTGAGGGACTGTGTGTTGTCTTGATGTGGTCTAGGACTGTTGTTGTTGTTTTGCTGCCTTGCCCAAGTTTACATTTTGTGTTGATGAATCGGAAGGAATGCATGTGCTTGTGCAATTTGTAAAAATATAGACAGTCCTCGCGATACGAACATCCAGTCTTACAAACATTGGCACTTACAAACGAACCGCCATACGATGTTATGATTTTTAACCATCCGACTTGCGAATGTTCGGTTATACTTTGAACTGATCCGTAAAAAACTATTTTGTTCGGTGGAGTGATCCTCCAGGACTCAAGGTAAGTGAAAATAAAACAGATATATAATTTTTTATGTTACTGCATTTTATTTTATTTACAATATTTAAAAACCCTTGAATATCGGTGGAGTTACGTTCTTGTAAAGTGCCGCAAACGCCCAAACCGCTTTATTCAATACTTAAGCCTTACCTAAATAATAGGGTTAGGTACACGGCAACCAAAAATAGACATCACAATTGATATAAGTACTGTAATGCAAATGAAATAAAAACTATATAATTGTAATAAACATGTAATAGTATAAATACTAAATATATGCTGTACTTACCGATGATGATCCAACATGGGTGTGTGTGTTTGTCCGTGAGTGGGGAACGGTAGCGAAGCAGTTAGCGCGAACCCGGCGATCCGAGTTTGATTCCAGCTTAAGCCCAACACCAGTGATGATTATCTGAATCGGGGAGGTCCAGGACCCATTATTATCTGAATCGGTCCTGGACTTCCGCTAGGTCGACTCGGCTTCAAATGGTTACCTGGTGCAATGTGTAAACATCGTCAATGAGGAGACAAAGGCGGCCGGGCGTGGTGCTGGCTACCCACCCGCTTGTGCCATGCCGGCCTTCATAGGTGCTCACTAACAGCACTTGTCCCAACAGTTTGTTAATAGGCTATACAGGGGCTGTTTGCCTCTGTCCGCGAGAGCTTGCACGGCAAAGGTTGAGGTGTCACTGAGTGCCTCGCGTCCCTCGCCTGCCCTACACCACAGTATCAGTCACACAACACCATCACTCGAGAAGCGTCTCGAGTAATACTTCTGTGTACAGTATATCCACGAAAGGCTAAAACGAACCACCGAAATAGCTAAATTTGGTTTCCATAGAGGTTGCCCGCGATAGGTTGAAATTGTAAACGATAAGCCCACGATATTAAGTATTGTATATAAATGTACAAAATAAAATTTTATTTATGAGTTTTACAATGCTTCCCTTTCCTATTTAACCATCACACATTTTATAACACTGACATTGTATACAATTCAATATTTAGTTCAAAGATACAAAAACATCGACTTATGAATGGGTTCCAGGAACGTAACCCATCCATAAGTCGATGACTGCCTGTATAATGGATTTTTATTTATTTATAATAACTTCTTTACGTTTTCTCTACTTTGTGCTCATATCGATTTTCGTATTTGTTGTTGTAACTCACTTGACACCCCAGCTCCTACTGGACGGCTGGAATAGAGCTTCATATCTCGTTGGATTTTCTGAATAAAGATTCTGATCCTGATTCTTCCCCGCAGCAGAGACGGCGGACGGCACCGGACAACGGCAGAAGCCATTCCACTGCTTCCTGTGCCCCTACAACACCGACCACCGGAGCAACCTGCAGCGCCACCTGAAGACGCACACGGGCGAGCGGCCATACGTCTGCCGCGAGTGCGGCAAGGCCTTCACACAGTCGAGCAACCTGCGCAAGCACCGGCGCACGCACTCGGGAGAGAGGCCCTATGCGTGCATCGAGTGCGGGAAGGCCTTCGCGTACCGGCACACGCTGCGGGGCCACGCGCGCACCCACTCGGGCGAGCGGCCGCACGCCTGCAGCGAGTGCGGAAAGACATTCGCCGACGTCACGAACCTCAAGAGGCACGAGCGGACTCACACGACAGGGGCAGCGAGTGCTGAGGCGCCGCGCGGTCGCGACCGAGGGCTTCTCGAGCCACGCCGGCGGACGAAGCAACGAGAAGTCACGGCAGAGACCACCCGGACGGCGGAGGAGAAGCCGCACGCTTGCTTTTCCTGCGGCGAAGGGTTCTGCTGCCCAGCCGAGTTTACGCGACATGCCGAGCGTCGCCTGCCGGAGGGGCCCGGCGAGGAGGGCTGTGCCGCGGACGCCTCGGACAACGACGTTGACGGCTCGACGGGCGAGGTCGGGGCCTCGGCGGGCCCGTCTGTTGCTCCGCGGGGTGGGGCCAAGCCGCATGTTTGCTGTGAGTGCACCAAGTCGTTCGCCGACGCATCGGGCCTGCGCCGGCACGGGCGGACGCACGCAGGCCACAGGCTGCACGTTTGCGCAGCCTGCGGGAAGTCGTTCTCCCAGTCGGGCAACTTGCGGGCGCATGAGCGCGCGCACACTGGTGGCAGACCGCACGCGTGCCGGGAGTGCGGCCGTGCGTTCTCCTACATGCACGCGCTGCGGCGTCACGCGCGCTCAGCGCACGCCACCGAGCGACCGCACCGTTGCACCGAGTGTGGAAAGGCCTTCTCTGACTTCTCCTACCTTAAGACACACCGGCGCTACCATGCTGGCGAGAAGCCGCACCGCTGCACACTGTGCGGCAAGTCCTTCGTGCAGCTGGGCGATCTGCGCAGGCATGAGAAGATCCATGCGAGGACGGAGACGTGCAAGTGACAGGGGCGCTGTAAGATGATACAATCAGATACCCCACGAAATAACCCATCAGCCCATACATGGAAGAAAGTAGGTGTGGTGTTGCCCATAAGGGTGTCTTTTAATATATGGGAGAAAGTAGGCGTGGCGTTGCCTGTTGGGATATGTATCTGCCCATATATGGGAGAAAGTAGATGTGGCATTGCCTGTTGGGACATATCTGTCCATCATGGGAGAAAGTAGGTGTGGCGTTGCTTGTAGGGGTGTCTCACATATTTGGGAGACGGTCGGCATGGTATTGCCCGTAGGGTCGTGTTTCCCCCCATATATGGGAGAAAGTAGTCATGGCGTTGCCTGTTGGGACCTGTCTCTGTCCATATATGGGAGAAAGTAGGCGTGGTGTTCCCCGTAAGGGCATGTCTATTACCACATATGGGAGAAAGTAGGAGTGACGTTGCCCGTAGGGACGTGTCTTTTCCCATATATGGACTTGTGGTATCTGAATCAAGGTGTTTTTTGTATTCTGTTTACAGTAGATCCAAGAGCCATGTGAGAGTATCAATTCATCCAGGGTTAATCACTGTCGATTAATTGGCATGTGATTTATGGATCGAGTATTCCCATGAGTTAGTATGTGAAAGGCCCCCTTTTTTTGATTGGTTAATATCTGCACGATGAGTGATTGGTTCGCAGTCAGTTTTTATTGGATTGTGGCAGAGGCTGGGTGTCCATGCGTGGGATGAGAGCGAGCACGTTATGAGTGTGCGCATGGATTTTTGCAAAGTGTGTCTGATTGAGTTTATTCCTTTTGTAACAAAGTAAAGGTTTTAAATGTAGCTTTGTTGTGGAATCGTATCTCGTGACACTTTATTATTTTAATATTAGAATCCGAATATGTATCCTGGAAAATGAATCAGATGAGCTATGAAGCTCTTTTTCAAAGATACCCAGTAGGGGCTGGCAGGTCAGCGAGTTACAACATTAATTAATTCATCATGCATAGTCAGCGAAGGACCGTTGCGCCAAACATGTGACCTCTTGTGACAGTATTCACATAAACTGCTTTGGCTGCCATAAACCAGTGTCTCGATTAATTTGTTTAATCCATGGATCACGGGAAGCGACCACGGGGGTGGTGCCATTCCTTTGAGAGTCGCAGTCCATCCAGATGGGCAACGTGTTCAAAAAGTGACAGCCGTGTCACTATATGCATGTGGAAGGACTGCAGCCAATCCAAATCAGCTTGAATTTCCAGGCCTCCGCACGATACAACAAAACTGATAAAACAGCACTGCCCAGATTTAAACATTTCTGGGACCAAATGCGGTTCAGACCATTATTCCTGAGGCCAAACCTATCCGGCACATGACATCAGGTCTACATTATCCATCAGTTGTCTGTACAGATCCCAGGTAGAGAAATGCATCCACTGCTTCGACAGCGTTGCCTTTGATTATGCAGAGTGCTGGAGGGCTGCAGCCTAAGTTCTGGACTTTTGTTTTCTTCCACAAAACAGTGACATTTTTCATGGATGGTTGTGGAAATGGTGGAGGACTGGTGTAAATGTTTAGGGTTCTGCACAAACAAGGCTGCATTATTAGCATAGTCGAGGTCAATTAAGTGGTGTCGGCCAATCCTGACTCCAAGGTCATGGGTCATCTTTTCAACGATCCAGTCGATCGCCTGACAGAAGAACGCCGGTGCAAGAATGCATCCTTGACATACTCCAGATGTGGTCTCGAATTATAGTGAAAGTCCAGACCCGACACGAACATTTGCACATGTGCCTGCATGCAGATCCTTCACAAGGTCCAGGAGGATGCCAGGGACCCCAATTCCAATCAAGGCAGACCAGAGAGCCAATCAATACACTGAGTCAAAAGCTGCCTTCATATCAATGTAAGTGACATGCCGTGGGTGGTCGAACTCACGGTGCAGTTTTGGGAATAGGAGGAATCCACACAGCGTTCATCTTAGATTGACCAAGCTGTGAATACTGATTTCTGTGGGCGACGGTGTTTTGTTAGGAGTGTGGTTGCAGCTTTCCCAGAAGTACATGTGAAAAAACCCTTCCCGGTACTGAAAGTACGGATATAGGTCTATAATTGATGCATGTTGTACGGGATGCTTTCCCTTTGAACAGAGAAACAATTATACTGTCTCTCCCTTGCTGGACATCCAGACCTTGATTAAGAACCCTCTGCTGATAGGATGCAAATCACCTTTCAATAGTTATGGAGGAACAGTTGTGGAGAAATAAAATAACATCTAAATGTTTGGAGTGCAAAATAGAGTAAAGGTAAGCAAGTCACTCCAAATAAATACATTTAAAGTAAATAAGTACAAATACATAACTACCCAGGAAAGCCTTGCTGAGGAGGGTCGTGCCTGGTTTTCACAGTAGGGGGCGATGCTGCTGCTGTAGGTAATCCCAGTCTATTACGTGCAGCTGCAATTATAGGCCGCTGTACGTGAGCTGTATCGTTCAGTTTCGTTCCGACAAACGGGGCACTACTTTTTCTTTTGCTCAATATGTTCAACGTTAATAAAAGGTATCCAAGCAAAAAGTTCTCCACACATTATCCTGCAGTTAATGAGAAAAGTGTAATTTATTGGCGCACTATATTGACTGCGTATTGAGACATAAAACTGTGGAGCTAGATTTTCAACCAATCAGCATCGAAAATGTAAGTAGGTCAGAGCCAAATTCAAGCCAATATCACTACGCACATGTAAACATGGAGGAGGACTTAAGCAGCGCAGCTTCATCTGATAGCGGCGATCAAGCTCGATTAACACCCGTAAAGTTTATTCTTCATGTCGGAAAAGATGGTGGGAAAGTTCCGCAGCCCTTTACTGAAGTCCGATGGAAAAAAATCAAGCAATGTGCGAAGGAATGGCTCAAAACGTCGGACACTACGGAGCTAGCTATTGCTAATAAACATGTTGCCCTCCTGGACAAACCGGTCTATGATGTCCCAACAAACTACGGGTTTCACCCGGCCTGCTATCGGCGTTTTATAGACAAAAAACGCTTGACTTGTGCACTAAAGCGTCAAGATAAGACTGAACGGTTGAAAAGACTTGTAACCCCGGTTGAAAGCTCTGAAACAGTTTCGCCAAAGAGGCTGCGTTCCAAGTACAGCTTGATGAAGGTTACCCCTACCACAACAACCACTTCTTCAAAGCCATCAACAAGCCAGCACGTTCTGCCTAAATTGTGCATAATTTGCAAAATGTTTGATCGGTTTATTACAATCAACAGAAAGCGCCAGCTTGACAAGTTGGTGCAGTCTGAGACAGAAAATGCAGGTATGTTTACTCACTTGAATTGAATGTTATGCAAGCTAATATATTGCCAACTGGGTTTATAATTTATTCTTCATATCTTTAATATAGGACTTCTTCGTGAGGCAGCTCAAATGAAATCAGATGAGAGCATTCTGACACACATTCGTGGGAAAGACTGCATTGCAATCGAGGTCCGATACCACAAATCCTGCTATCAAGATTACACAAGATTTCTCAGCAAAACTGAAAAAACAGGTAGGTACAAAAAAATGTTTGTTCACAAATCTGTGGGGTCACTCCAATTACATTTACATATTGCGTGTGAATGCAATGTAATTCCATAATCAAATTATTTCTCTATAGAAGGTAGGGCTTTAAATATACATGTCCTATCTAATGCTCTTGGTGACTTCACATTTTTCTATACATGCAAAAGGACCAAGACTATTTCAAATACAATTTCAGTGACATCTGATATTCAAATTTAATTAATTACTTGTTTATTTGGTCGTGACAATGCATGTTAATTAATCTCTTACCCCCTGCCTGAACCGAGTGCATTTTTCCATTTTGGCTTTACCCAAATCTAAAATCTTCTCAACTGGAGAGCAACAGTGTAATGCCTCACAAAACATAGAAACCAAGGCACTCTCAGCGTAATGCCTCATTTGAAAGCTATGACCTACTAAAGTGATTGTAACTTTGTTGTCACATTGTTGCCGCGTTTTTGTCACATTTTTGTTGCGTTTTCGTCACGTTTTTGTGTCACTTTTTTGTGGCCTTTTGTCATGTTTTTGTCGTTTTTTTGTTGCTTTTTCATTGCTTATTTTCATTGCTTTTTTGTCATGTTTTGCCTTGTTTTTGTCACTTTTTTGCTGCGTTTTCATCCTGTTTTTCGTCGTTATTTTGATGCTTTTTTTAAGCTTTTATGTTTTGGGTTGCCAAACTGGAGAAAATGTGCTCGGTTCAGGTGGGGGTTAAGAGGTTAACATACATCAGACTCATGCATGTAAACACGCCACACGGATTGTATTCATGGACTAATTTGCATCTGTTTACCCGCACTCACACTCTAAAACACACAAACTCATTCATCCTGACATATTGTACATGTTTTCATTTGCCTATCAGAGAATAGTTGCTTTGCAGGTGACTCATTATGACTTTCTGTTTTCCTATTTCAGAGCACGTTACTCAAATGTCCTGCAGTATCAGAGAGGCTACAGAGCATTCTGCAAAACAGTGATTGAGGATCGCCTTATCGAGAAGCCAGAAATTCTCCGGATGATGAGGCTTGTGCAGTTGTTTTGTAGGGCTATAAAAGAAGAAGAAGGATATGACGTTAGATCATACAGGTAATAATTATACAATTGTGAAGTTTGTGTTCCCACATAAATGTTGGCTATAAAAACCCAAGTTAGAACAGTGATTTGTTTTCTGTGAAATTATGAATTGTATTGTTTTCTTCTATGACAAATATCTCTTATACCTCGTATCTCGTGCTCCTGGTTAAATGTGAAATTGAAAAATATTTTATTCACCCACAATTAAGTCACTAAAAAGGTATCTATTTTACAGGTCCGATCTGCTGAAGCGTTTCCTACACCGATATTATCCACAACTACTCTTCCATAAACCTGTGAGACGGAATCTCAGCGAGATGGTGTTTTGTGAAGGACTGTCAGCTACAGACTTTATGGAGCCAATGTCGACATCAAGTACTGAGACTGAAAAAGATAGTGACAGTGCAGAAGATATCGGTGAACTCTCTCGTGACTGCACCTTACACAACACATGAGGTCTACAGTTCAGACAGAAAGCATACTTTGTTCTCTGCTGGCATCATAGTGCGACAAGCTATGCGAGGTACTTCTGGTATGACAATGCCAAGGCCACCACTGTCAACAGATCTGAATATTGATGCAGCAGATACCATGGTACCTGTGGAGCTGTACAATCTGATTGCCTGGTGTACTGGAGCATCAGGTGAACCTATGTTTGATAAGAAAGTACAGTTGCCTGAGGATACCAACAGGAGATTACTGTCCATCTGCCAAGACATAGTATACCTGGCATCAAGTGGTAAAAAGCCTACACCTAAATCCCTTGCATTAGGACTGACCGTTAGGCACTTAACCGGCTCTTCCCAATTGTTAGATATTCTGAGCAGACTTGGACACTGCATATCAACATCAAGTACCATTGGTTTTGAGAAAGCCTTAGCCGAATATCAGCTGGCTACCGGAACAGATATACCAAAGTGTATGTCAAAGCAACATCCAACCGTTTTGGTGTGGGATAACATTGACTTTGGGGAGGAGACCCTGTCTAGACGAGGTACTACCCACCACACCAATGGTATAATGATTCAGAGTAAAATGAAAAGCGAAGACCATAGGAGGACTGTGTTCATCAGAAAAGGTGTAAGGACACTGCAACCACAAAATAGTGTTCTGGACCTATACATTCATACCAAGAGACAGGGCCCTCAAGAGCTAAATGTTCCTCTGCTGGAGTATAATACTGTCCCATCTATGGTGCTGGCACAAAAAACTGATACAATCTATGTGCTGCTAAAATATAGCTGTCATGCAGTATCAGACACTTCTCTTCCAGGATGGACTGGGTTTAATTGTTATACTCAGACTAGCTCACTGCCAAAATCTGCTCTCTACTTATCTACCAGTTATAGAGGCTTCCCCTACAGAAATGACCACTGTAAACACCATACTCACTAGAAGTGTGGAAATTGCTGATCGACTAGAGTTGGAGAGTATTGTCACTGTGTATGACCAGGCTATATACGCTAAAGCGCAGCAAATAAGGTGGAAAGACCAAAATCTGATGCAGCGTATCATCCCAAGACTAGGTGAGTTCCACACAGCCATGTCCTTTATGGCAGTGATAGACAAACGTTTCAAAGAAGCAGGACTACAGGATATGCTGATTGAATCAAATGTGGTAGCTGTTGGTTCAATAAATGGAGTCATTAGTGGGCATCAATACAACCGTAGCATTCGTGCACACAAACTCCTATTTGAGGCAATGCATATCTTGCGGTTGAGGTCATTTCTTCAGTCCCTTCCTGAGCAAAAGCACACTCGTTACATATCAGCCATGGAAGATCTAGTACGAGAGTACAAGTCTGAGGCAGGATTTTTATCTATCTCAGTGTCTGACATATTATCAGATATGATGTCCTGCTATGATAGATATGTACATGAGATGAACTCTGTTAATCCCACCTTTGCACTTTGGAGCTCATACATTGAAATGGTTCAACTGTTACTGAGTTTCATTAGAGCAACCAGAGACTCTGACTGGAGCCTTCACTTAGCAACAGTGAGACGTATGCTGGCAAAATTATGCAAGGTACCTATCAGCATATTGGGTCGAGATGATCAATCTTCCAAAGACTCATCCACACTGCTATGAAGAAGTTACTGCAAAAGGAAACTGGACAGTACAGCGTAAGGATGCTAACAGGTTCTCATCCATAGCTTGTGACCAAGCAATAGAACAAACCTGCAACCGTGATTCAAAGACCAAAGGCGGCATAACTGGGATAACATTGAACAGAGGTGCCGTCCAGCGATGGATACTGTCTCATCCTGAACGTTCTGCAATCACAAGGTAGTGTGAAATGATGGCTGGAATGCAACATGAAGAGAGGGGTCATAAAGAGTTGGATGCAACAAGAATTGCAAAAGACAATGCTGCTGTTATATCTTTGGTTTCAGCGGTTGAGTCTATGATCAATCCCTTCCTGCCTCGTGAAGATCTTGTATGTATTAGTTCTGGTGTTGTTGCTACAAAGACTGTCAGAGATGACATACAAAGTGCTTGTGATAAAGGTGAAACAGCTCTGAAAATTTTCATCCAAGATCGAGTCCAGTCATCAAAAACAGACTTCTCTCCAATAAAGTCCTTGAAGCTCACTACGTTTTGGGATCAAATGAAGAAATCATCCAAGACAAAAGATGGAAATCAAGTCATTCTAAAAAATGACAGGAGACTCTTTGCACGACTGTTAGTGATAAGTCAATCCCGGTCTGTAAACTTGAAAGAGATTCTGACATATTCACTTAGCAATATCTCATCCCCGCTAGCAAGCACTGATGATTCATTAGCCAAAACAAATAAGGCTGCTCTTCTAGCTTGTTTAGAATCAAAGAACAATGACTGTCATGTGAACAAGACTGTTGGTGATAATGGTGCCCTACTGATAGATGGCATGGCATTGATCAGGAGTCTCAAGAATATACCAGACACATTCGGTGAGCTTGCTGATGATCTTCTTCAACTTATGATTAAGATGGGTAGAAAGTTCAGTTGTCCAAGGGTCGATTTTGTCATTGATCGCTACCCGGCAGTGAGCATCAAAAATGCTGAACGATCAAGACGTGCTGTTGCTGGACAACAATTACTGCAAATATACAGCATCAAGCAGAAGACTCCAAGTCAGTGGACCAAGTTTCTAGCCAGTGGTGAAAATAAAGAAGCCTTGACAGACTTTCTCTTTGAGACATGGAGAACTGTGCCTTTACAAGCAGCTGGAAAAGACATAGCTATCTTTGTGGCACACAGACATGTATGTCATCAACTCACTCTTAAAGATGGTATTATGTCTGTCAAAGAGGTAGAATCTTTGACTTGTGACCATGAAGAAGCTGACACGAGGCTCCTACTTCATGCAAAACATGCCTGGAGTGAACTTTATTATAAGATAATCATCCAGAGTCCTGACACTGATGTTGCTATCATTTCACTTGCAATAATGGCTAAGCTTCCCTCAGCAAAGATGTACTTTCTGACAGGAACAAAAGACAGGCAAAGAATGTTATATCTCCAGGCTATTGGTTATGCTTTGGGTCCTTCACTAACAGAGGCACTGATAGGACTACACACATTCACCGGCTGTGACTCAACTAGTTCCTTTTATGGGAAAGGAAAAGAGAAACCACTAAATATAGTGTCTGGAAATGCAGAGTACATCAGTGCATTTGTTGCTCTTGGGAGGCAATTTGAAATGGACAGCACCACATTTGTGACCATAGAACGTTTTGTGTGTGAGCTATATGGAGAAAAGGTATCAGATGTTAATTTGGCCAGATACAATAGGTTCTGTGTCCAGGCCTCTTCCGAACAGGCATTACCTCCAACAAAAGATGCACTTACAGAGCACTTCAAGCGTGCTAACTACCAAGCTGCAATTCACAGGAGAGCATTGGATCCTTTTATAAATGCTCCCAGTCCAGACGGCTTTGGATGGATTGTCAAGGATGGTGATCTCATCATATCATGGATGACTAAAGATCCAGCTCCTCAACAGATTTTGGGGTCACTCCACTGTGGGTGTAAGTCTGGTACTTGTACAGGTGGAAGGTGCTCATGCCACAAGGCTGGCCTGGCCTGCACTGACCTATGTAAATGTGTTAATTGTGACAATGTGAGATTAACTGAGGATATTGTTTCATGTGAATCTGATAGTGAGGACAGTGATTTTGATATTTAGTGATGTGTATATGATAATAAAATTAATATAGGATATATTTAATATAAATCAATCTAAATTTAATCTTGTTTACAATAATCATTCCTGTGAATATGTACATGTAGTGCAGTTACTGCTCGTGTATGCGAATTGACAATTCACCATTAAATGTGTTATTTTGAAAAGTGTTTTTTTTATATATTATGTTTTGGCTTAATTCTATTTGTTATTCAGATTTTTATCTCAAATATTACCTTTGAATTGGAACAGCATAATGAGAAGTAATTGGGATGTTAATGCTACAGTAGAAGTTTTCTTGATAATCTTATCATGTTTACTGTGCATAGATAGCAACGTCAGGTATATCACACATTTCAAACTGGTTTATTTTGTACTTCAAGTGGTAATTCTGCATGTTTGGGTTTATATGATAAACAGGTTTGAAAGTGCAAAATTCCCTATGGTTTCCCTTTTTTTCAAAATGGGCACCTTTAGCATCATTTTTCTCAAAAACTGCAAGGTTGTGTGCGGAGAACTTTTTCCTAAGGAATCTCTATATATTTCTGATGTTAAATATATAAAAGTAGGTAGTGCCCCACTTGGTGGAACGAAACCCTATTTCTAGGCCTCTTTTAGGCTACTGACAGCGGCCTATTAATTGAAAAAAATCTAATTTGGACCACGATGACCTGCCCTCCGAATGATACCACGAGATCTTCAGAGTCTTCAGCGAAGCAGAGCTCTGTTCGTGTTTAGTGGTGAGCACGTCCGCAGTGATAACCAGGCCCGCCTGCCAAATTCGAACTGCGCATCTCTGGAACGATTGGAGAACACGTCAACACTCCTTGCTCCGCCGCACCCCAGGCACGTCTGATAAACTCCTGCAATAAAAAATGCCAGGTGGCTCAGCAGTGGAGTGGGCTGCTCTCAATCAATCGGAAGATTATTAGGTCATATCCCGATTTTATGATTGAATCATCCCTCTGGGGTAATACAATTGTTAAGGTTTTGTGGGGAAGCCCTATGAATAGATCATAGCACCGTGGAATTTCCACCACTGGCTCTGTAGGGTTGTCAATAGGAGATAAGCCTACAATAAACCACAGATGTTGGTGCTTGTATTATGAAATCCAAACCAACATAATATTCAGTCCTTTCACCTCTGATGAGCATGGGTGGCTGTGTAAGGTGCGAAATAAGTTCTACATCTGAAGGGCGTTTTCTTCCTAAGTAACGGCAGTTTCATGTGGTAATTTTGCTCAAGTTTCACTTGATACAAACGTGTACAGAGTTCATAATGTACTGGTTATAACGATGAAAAATAATAGACTTTACTCTTTCCGGCAATAATAAGTGTTAAGATGGTCAAACACCAAATATAAGGTTGCGCTGTTTACACACAAAGTCCTTGCCACAAATGAACCACAATACCTTGCTGATCTCGTCAAGAAGCATAAACCATCACGCGAACTCTAAATCATCCTCGCAGAAGCTTTTAGCTGGACATCAAACAAAGACGATTACTGCATCGCACGCTTTCAGATGCGCTTCTACGGCCGTCTGGAACACTTCCGATATTAAGAAGCCACTGGAGCAATGCACTTTTAAATCTAGATTAAAAACGAATTTCTTTAGGACTGTTTTTTTGTTTAGTTTGTTCTTCCCCACCACTCCGATTAGCACTGTTGGCTAAGTACAGTGCGAAAAAAGTTATACATACATACAAATTGATACCTGTTACAATGCATCAAATCTGCGTAAACCACAAATGCTTCTGGTAAAACATGCAAACAAACTTGCTTAGGTAATTTACGCATTTATCTTTGAAACAGATTGGCCTACATCAGAGACAGCCTCCTTTATGCATATATTATGAAATAATGTTTGTTTGCATGTTTTAGCACAAGCATGTGTGGTTAATGCAGACTTCATGCCTTGCAATTGGTGTCTATTTGGTGTTTGAACATCTTAACACTTCCTGTATTCTTGCCTTTTTTATTTTTCATTATTTTGATACGAACAAAAAGGGTCCCATATATTTAATGGTCATAGTTCAGCTTAAGTTATGATGGCCAATGTGTGTAATACTCTGATGAATTAGTTGACCATAATGAGTGTATCATCACTGACATTCACATTCCAATAGGGATTCTATAACATATTGTGCAGACGATTTCATTGTGCGGTGTTGTGTGGTGTTTAAAAATCCACCAATTATATTAACTTCCTGGATCTTGTTCTAATGATGTTCACACAACACGTTTTTGTAATAACGCGGTTCTTCCACCAGGGAACACTTCGCACAACGCGCTCATTATAATGCGCAACGCCCCACGGTTTTTGAGTGGTCGACGCATTACTTTCTTGAGCTGTGCAGCTGAGTGGAGTGATACGGTACGTGGAATGACATTAACACGGTGGTGTACCCTCAGTTATTTGTCCCGTCATCTCACGTGTGTGCGTAGTACATCGTATCTCGCCAAACTTGATCATTACTACATTATTTATGGGGACATTTTCACACGTTTTTTGCTTAAAGTGGCACTTTTCAGGAACGCATATATCGCATTAAACGAGTATTTACGGTCATTTGAAATGAAAAAGCGCATCTAACCCAAGGTGACGTGGTGGATAGTAGCGGTTCTTGACAACACAAATTTGGTCAGATCTTTGTGTGGTGGGCTAACCCCAAATATGACTCAGAAGCAATGCGATATGGGCCTAATGGCAGCTACAGTGTTGTTTTTTGACCCGGAGATTAGTGCAGTTTTATCCACAATGAAGAGTTTGTCCCCAGAGATTTACTCAGAAGTACCATATTCCATATAATTTATCCGTGAATTTAACAACACATAGCTATATGCAGCATGACACGTGTTGAAAGCTCTAAGCGTTATCCAGACCACCAGCTCCAAAGAACTGAACGTGTAGCTATTTTATCGTTTACACTGCCAACTCAAGGAGTCAAGGAAATGTGACCGTCCCAGCAGACAGCAGTGAAATAATGACTCAACTCTGGGCAGGTTTCATCCTAATTAGGTTTTATTAGTTCAGTCCAGTGGCCAGTGTCCACTGCTGCCAGCTCCCTCTGGAATGGCCGCAATTTATCTCAGGTGTGATTTGGCAAAATCGTAAAATTAGGGTGGGACGCGTGTGCAAGATGGGTTGTGGGAGAATTCCCAACATCCTTCTCAGATGCTCGAAGTCCAACTTATTTTTTTAGTTGCTTAATTTGGGGTGGTGGGACGGCATAGCGGTTGCATAGTCTCCACTTGTTGTTGCAGAGGTTCACAGTTCAAATGCGGCAGGACACCCTGGTTAATGCTCCAGGTACATCGACGGTAAATACCACGTGCCATATATATGTAGTGAGTCCAACTGAGTCGCAGACGTCTTGGGAGCAACACTTTATTCCACCCACTCAACATAACATAACACAACCTACACTTGGGTGTTGAATGCCCATCTAGCCACACTACGGCAGAACTAGTCACGGTTCGCTATCCCGGCCTGGCCCACAAGCTGGGTCCCGGACCGTGTGGCTAGAGGCTTCTTAACCCGACGTGGATCTTCTTCACCAGCAACCCGAAGAACCCCGAGCCCCTCACGGGGCCCCGTTTTATTGGCCTGGGCTGGGGCTGGCTCCGCCCCTCGCCCCACCCACCTTCTAGATCTCTCGAGCTCTTTCCCGAAGGCTCCCGAGAGCTCTTTTATACCACGTGACCGCCCAGCGGCCCCCGTCCAGCAGCCCCCGTCCACCGGTGGCCCCCCTCCAATATCATCCGGTCACGTGTCGGCAGGTCAACCAGTGTATCATGCCCCAATGTAACCCTGGCTGGCTGACACTTCCTCTCACTCCCTCACCGGGAGCCCGCACCACACACTGTACGTGGTACCTCCGCGCTGACCAGCGCTCACCCAAGCCCCGCTAGGGCTGGTACTACGCCCAGTAAGCGGGCTACACATAATGCCAACACATTATCTGCCGTGGCTTCGTAAGCCCGGGACAATAACAGTAACATCCACAGTCACTCCATATACATCACTCCATGGTCTTTCCCCACCTCATCTCGCTTCTCTCATCTCTCACTACTCTGTCCCATCCCATCCTCTATGCTCCCAGTCTAGACTGCCCCTCTCTGTGCGTCCCTCGCCCTGCCCTCAGTCTCGCTCATTCTCCCTTCTCATTCCCCTCCACTGGAACCAACTCCCCCTGCAGCACACAGAGCAACCACCTTCATTATAAGCTGCTTCCGTTCCTCCCTTAACAGGTCCCTGCGGGGTGGGCTGGTAGGAACGAACAAATGAATGGCTATAATAAAATGAAATGGCGGCGGTACGATACGAAGGGAGAGTTTGAGGCTTAGTTCTAGGCTTTAGGCCGAGCTGTAGGCTTTAGGCCGCTGTGAGTTAATTTTTAATTTAAATGTTTCAATTAAAAACTATCTCAGGGAATTATTTAAAAACTATCTCAGGGAATTATAAGGGAATGTTACACTTGTTTAGCCAGGAAAGCCTCACTGAGTCTAAAGGTTTTTGTAGGGTCCTGCCAAGTGTTTGCAGTAGGGGGCGATGTTGCTACACCTAATCGGACATCGGACGGACGGACGATATAATCTATTGTAGGCTGGTTCACTTCGTTCCTACCAGTAAAACAACCCCCATCTCTTCTCCACTAGCCCATCATCACCATGCTGCTGCTACTCCCTGCCCCCCAGCGACGACCAGGCCTACCCAAACTCCTACTACCGCCCCTATCACTAAACCTACCCCTCCTTAACTACTCCCGCCTGTAATCAGCTTAACCACCACTTTTATTAACAACCCCACTCTTTATTAACTTAACCACTATCTTATGTACAATTGTATAATTGTTGTAAAGCACCTTGGATTAAGGCGCTATATAAATCTATAAGACGCCAAAAACCCTCAAATTCTATACTGTACACAACATCGCCACCCAACTCATGCAGTATAGTGTATATGAAACAGCGCCTTCTTTCAAGCCTTATGCAATAGTAATGGCCGGAATAACAAACGTATTACATGATTATAATTACAGTAAGACCTCGTTTAACACTGTAGATGCATTCCTGAAAAGTGCAGAATGATGCGAAAACTTTAAATCATCACGCATAGTCAGTGAAGGACCGTTGCGCCAAACATGTGACCTCTCATGATAGTATTGACATAAATTGCTCTTTCTGCCATACACCGGCGTCTCAAGTAATTTGTTTGATCCATGGATCACAGGAGGCGACCACGGGGGTGGAGCCATTTCTTTGAGGGTTGCAGTCCACTTCGAACGTCAACCGCCAACTGAAGTGCACAATTTTTTGAAGTTTGCGCATCAAGACGGGGCGACGTGTCCAAAAAGTGTCAGCCGTCTCCCTCAAACTAAGCTTTCGATCGCGAGGAGACCAGTCGCAGAAGCAATGGTGATATTTCTGACGATTTCAAACCATTGGATGCCAAGGAGGCACCTTTAGCATCGCGTGTGGTAGGACTGCAGCTGATCCAAATCTGCTTGAAGCAATGTCCAGGCCTCCGCACCATACAAAACTGACGAAACGCAGAACTAGTAGACCGTCAATTTGGTGCCCAGATTTAAACGTTTCCGGGGCCAAATGCTGTTCAGGCCAAAAGTGAAAACAATTGCCCCATAAATAATGTAACGATAAAGTTTGACGAGATATGATGGCGAGTTACACGCAGTAAGATGGCGGGACAAATAATTGAAGGTACGCCGCTGCGTTACTGTATCATGCGTTTACTGTATAATTCCGCTCAGCTGTGCAGCTCAAGAGAGTAGTTAGTCGTCGACCGCTCAGAAACCACATTATATCAGGGCATGTTCTGCGTTATATCGGTGCGCGTTCTGTTGAGATGTTAACGACCTCGCCTGGTATACAGGAGGTCGTGGGTTCGATCCTAACCCTGGATTTTTCTCTGGGCCCTTCACATTTAGAAACATGATTTTTTAGTATTTGGCTACTTAAAATTTCTGCGTGATAAGCCACTTCGTTGAGCTACCATTCGTAGCCAGGTCACGTCTGAAAAAGAGCTATATGGCTAAGTGGGCCTTACGTGGTAAAATAAAACATTTGTATTTCAGTTTAATTTATTTATAACGGGCGCGTTCCGCGTTGTGCGTTCCCGAATATAAGAACCGCATTACAGCGAAAACGTGTTGTGTGAATACCACGCGTTAAGCGAGGACTCGCCATACTGAGTAGTTAGGATCCAGCTCTCCGGAACTGACAGCAGAGGGTGCTCTCGTCATCCGTTAAGGGCTGGCTAGGTGCTTCACTGCTTCACTGGTCATGGCTCGGTCCCTACCTAACACCGACGCTCGGCTCGGGCTTGAGTCGCTCAAATAGTTTAAAAGTTGCGTCAGTTGAGCGACTCAGCCACGGTCCGGCTGTGGCTCTGGCTCAGCCTCATGGGAATCCTGAGAGTAGCAGGCACTGTGCTTAGAGCAGGCACAAGTTAAGCTCATGGCTTTGAGCGTGGCTCTCTGGAGCCTGGCGTGGGTTAACAAAAGACACGTACGACGCATAATTAAACCTTATGGCGGTACCCTGGGGTAACATAGTACCCCGGCTCTCGCATAATGTCCGTGATGCA